TATATGTTTGAACAGAATGCAAAATAGATATTGAACAACGACACTATGTTCTAAATGTTCTTTGAATGTCCCATTACAGTTTAATCAGTAGTACAGGAGGAGTTGTAGAGAAAATATAGGCACCCATCAATATTATAGATAGAATGAAAGTTCCAGGTTTTACCACGGGAAGCCTTAAATATATGTTGGATCAAAATATAAAATAATAGAAATACACAGCTACAACTTAAAGATTCTTTGACAGTCATTTTAAATTTGATACAGTAGTATAGGAGGGTTGAGGATCATATCATAGATAGAATGAAAGTATCCATGTATTATCATTGGAAACCTCAAATACACTGTATATGTTTGTTCAAAATATAAAATAGAAATACAAAATGATACTTTGTACTAAAGTTTCCTTAAAAGTTAAATCAAATTTGATTCAGTAGTACATAGGAGTAGTTGCAGAGAAAAGATGGGTACCCTCAATATTATAGGAAGAATGAAAGTGTCCATGTCTTACCATTGGAAGCCTCAAATATATGTTGGATCAAGATATAAAATAGAATTACAAAATGACACTTTATAGTAAAAGTTCTTTGAAAGTTAAAATAAATATGATTCTGTAGTATAGGAGGGGTTGCAGATTAAAGATAGGTACCCTCAATATTATAGGAAGAATGAAAGTGTCCATGGTTTGCTATGGGATACATTCAAATATATGATGATCAAAATGTAAAATAGATAGTGCACAAAGGAATTTTGTACTTAAGGTTCTTTGAAAGTAGCACTTAATTTTATACAGTATTATATGAGGAGTTGGGAAAAAGAGATGGGTATCTTCAGTATTATAGAAAGAATGGCAATGTACTTGACATCTTTTGGAAACCTTTACAAATATTTCCAATCAAATCGTAAAATAAGCAGTGCTCAATAGCCTAATTATATAATTACAATTTTTTTCTATTTCTTAAAATGAGGATAATGGATATTGAAATGCCAGTATTGAAAGCAATTAAAATGGAAATGAAAGTAGCTACTATTAATACATTACCATGGGGCAAACTGTGGCTTCTATAACCACAAGGAAGAGAATAAAATACGTCATCCTATAACTAATGGTAAATTTGTATCATTAAGATATGAAAAAACGTCTTTTTACAAAAAAAAAAATTCCGATCCAAAGTAAATATTAAGCTATAAGATTTCCACGTTCTCTAAGCAAAATGGCTGATCACCTGATCACATGATAAACAACACCTGTTTTGATTGGATATAGTCTTTTTCTGTGCAACGAGGGACACAGTAGCTTAGTCGATATAGCCCAGTTTTTCTGTGCAACTAGGAACACGGTAGCTCAGTCGGTAAAGCACTTTTCTGTAATCGGAGATCGTGAGCTCGAATCTCGGTCCCGACTGACCTAAGTCGATAAAAAATGAGTGGCAACTTTTCCTTCGCCATGCCCTCAGCACTTAAAGTGAAAATTTTGGGTCCTGCAGATGACACTTAAGAACCGAGGACTAGTATCACGACAGGCGTTAGCATGCTAAAGATCCCTCAGTGCTCATGTCCCTGAGTGCCAAGAATTGGTCAACATTTGAAGCCCAAATTTTCAGGTACAGTATATGGTTACGTCTCTACATGCATTGCAAATTTTCGAAGGGGACGTTAAATACCATACAATCAATCACATTTTTCTTTTCGCCACAATTGTCACATACCATTTTAAATGTTTTATAATAATATCAGTAGCATCAGTGATTTGAAAAAAAAACAGTAAAATTTTAGTGGCAATAAATGCTTTAGAAGCCAATACAAAACAAACTCAACTTTTAGAAATATACAAAAAAAATAGTAAGAAACAGAATCCCGTATCATTTGGAAAGAAGACACGGTATATATATATATATATATATATATATATATATATATATATATATATATATATATATATATACATATATATACATATATATATATATATATATAGAAAAATAATCCAGAGTTTGGAAAAGATGATCACATTTTATTCCAAAGCGCTTTCGCCATTCGGCTCTTCAGTGGATTTTGAATAACAATAGCAACATGACATGATAACGTCGTTATTATGACGTCATAATTAAAGGACAACGTTAAAATTTGGCGCAAAAAATGTCCGTAGAAAGCGCTTTCTACGGACATTTTTTGCGCCAAATTTTAACGTTGTCCTTTAATTATGACGTCATAATAACGACGTTATCATGTCATGTTGCTATTGTTATTCAAAATCCACTGAAGAGCCGAATGGCGAAAGCGCTTTGGAATAAAATGTGATCATCTTTTCCAAACTCTGGATTATTTTTCTATATGTACATACCTATACCAAGGACATCTTGAATTTTAATACATATATATATATATACATATATATACATATATATATATATATATATATATATATATATATATATATATATATATATATATATATATATATATATATATATATATATATATATATATATATATATATATATATATATATATATATATATATATATTTCTCACAATTTTAGTCCAATAGAATTGCGACGGACATCTGCATGCAGGCTCGTTTTAGTATTCAAATGGTGCTGTGATAAGAAAACATCCAATGAAACACTTAGAACAAATAAATTCCATTCATAAATCTTTTTTCTTCATCTTTTCGGCATTATCCAAACTCCTTTCGAAATGCTACCAAGACAATTTACAATGTAGTTTTAGAGGCGCATGTCCTTTCGTCATGTAAAATAATTTTTTTTCTAAGAAGTATATTTCTGGCAGTTACTTTTGTTTTGTCGAACATATTTCCGATGAAAAACTACAATATTTTTAAAAACAGGGTTGAAGAAAAAAAAAATGTTGCGAAACAAATACATCCCATTTATATACATATTTTTCTTTTGAACGTCTCTGTCCAAACGTTTGAAAGCCAGCAATCAATTCTATTCATGGCTTCTATTCAGGTCTTCTTCCTAGGCCTGTAAATATAGATCTTTTAATATATATATGTATTGATTATTGGAAAACTATTCTACCTTTACCATATGTAGCTTTTAAATTCTTTTGTTATACCAAATTGTGTTCAAGTTTAAATGTCTCAAATATCTTCACGCACAATGTTTTTTTCTATAAGTAATTAAGCACGTGATATAAATATATAAACCGGTAACTATTGCACAATGAAGAACGATTCTTTAATGACACTATTTAAAACGCATTATGTAAGAAAATTAAAGAATCTGTGAAAGTATCTTTGAATTTTATTCAGTGGTATAGGAAGAGTTTAGGATCAGAAAGAGATGATTACCCTTCAATGTTGTAGAAAAAATGGCCGTGCCCATGTTTTGCTATGGGAAACCACAAATATGTGTCAGATCAAAAAAGTAAAATAGGATATGTACAATGGAACTATGTATCAAACATTCTTTGAAAAAATCATTTTATTTCTCTTACGGTTTTCGAATTGTAGAAACAATATCATGGTAGTAACAGATGAATTTATTGATCTCACATAGTCAACATACAAACTCACAAACAGGCTCAGATATATGGTATCAGAACCATTCTTCTTTTTATGTAACATTGCAGCTATGGCTAGGAAACCCCTTTTCTGTCTAGGTCAGAAGAGTCCAAAAACCTTCATCAACACATACAATGTACAAAACAAGAATGGAAATTTAATACCCCAATATTACTATACCATCTAAGACTTTTACCTCTGACACTTAAATTCAACCAACCAGGAATGAAACCAATGAACCATAAACAACATATACTACACTACTTTATGGAAACCCATGACTGACTTAAACTAATAAAATAACTTAGAATATGGAAACATGTTTATGTAATAATTGAAAATTAAATGCTTAATAATTTATTTCATTTAAACAATACAAATAAAATAAATATAAATCTATATTATCACATTTCAATCATTGGTACATGTATACGTAGAGTTGCGGATAAGAGATGGCCAAAAGTGTACGGTACTACGGACAGACAGAACGGACGGACATCTCAATCACTATATACCCTTCCGCTTATCCACAACTCGTTTCCAAATGACTTCTGCAGCGAAAATAAAACAAAATATCGGAGAATCTATAGAGTCCGATTTTTTTATCTCCATAATCACCGTGTAACAAGAAAAACAATGTGTATTACAGGGGTTATTAGTTTTTGGCCTCTCAGTAAACTTTATATTTTGATTTTATCGTCATATTTTTAATAAATGACATTTATGGAATCACAAACTTGTTCTGTTGTATTTTGGCAAAAAACTAGCTTCACTGAAGGCAGATGCTTGGATGGAAAGAGTTTTACATGTACTTAAATGTCAGCGAAACCACAAATTTCCCTTGTCGACTGAATGTTCAGAAGTGTTAGCTCAATCCGTAACGCTTACAAACAGAGTTTTGCACTAAAGAGTAAGCTAATACCTTATTACAACCCGTGCGCATGTCGTTTGACCCTGACTAATTTTTAGCAAAGAATTTTAACTAAAATACCTGCTTCATGCAAAAAAATCACCGCGGAGTTAAAACCCCTTATGATACTTAACCGAAACCCCACATGTGCCCCTTTACATGGTGATGATTGTCGTTTATTTATGAAATAAGGATAGACTCATTTTTGAAGAAAAAAATATTATACTCGTTATATCGTGTTAGTTTTCTCGTTATAACGAATTAGTTTCTCGTTATAACAAGTTAATACATGTAATTAGTATCTCGTTATAAAGATTTAGTTATCTCATTATAACGAGTTTGTTATTTCGTTATAACAAGCTAGAATCTCGTTATAACGAGTTTATTGTCTCGTTATACAAATTAGTTATCTCGTTATAACACGTTATATAATTAGTTATTGCGTTATAACAAAATAATTATCTCGTTATAACGACCGAGATAATTATCTCGTTAAAAAGAATTAAATATTTTTGATCTTGTCAAGAATGAGCCTATCAGGCTTTCTTATTTATTAAATAAACATTTACATTGAATATGTGACAAATATTCGTTTATTTCTCCATTCCGTGCACCATATACAAAAACTCCTTATCTGCCACTTTATTCAGTTCCTTTTTCTCTCCCCAGACGAACGAAAGGGACAGGTCACATGAATATCGACTAGCTTCCGGTTTACGACCATAGACTTCCGCTAAATCACGCATGTAAGCTGCGCAATTTCCACAGCAGAGACCGACATATTGCACATCAATTTCCTTAGCTGCTGTTGCAAACTCTATGATATCATCTGAGGAACATTTTTTGCATTCAAGGTTGTTTGGGTAGAGAAACTTTCCTAAAAATTAAAACAAAAAGATTATTCTAGGATAAAAATAAATTTGACTGCAGATGAGTAAAGCAACTGTAAAATCTTTCTTATTCTCACCGGTTTCTTCGTCTTTGAAGGAATAAAACGTGCGGCATCCATCTTTACAACGGAAAGGCACAGGGATAGCAGCTATAGGGCCCTTCAATTAATGTACATTTAAAGTTTGATATGTAAGAGCATGACTTACGTATGAACAATTTCTAAAACGAGGTAAATTACTGACAAACAAGTTGATGAAACAAGAATATCAGCAGTCTCGTTTGAAGTCATCATTTCGTAAGTTCTATGGGCAATACAATGATCTAGTCAGCAAATACAATTTATCATCGAGTCAAATTCTGACAGACGTTTTTCATACTAATCGTCAGTCAATTATTTATTCACTGAATTGATGAAGGATTTTCCGTAATTTCCGGATCATAACAAGGCGCATACGACTAGTGTGACCGGTCGGCAGAGGATGTTCACTCCTTCATGACACCTGATCCCACTCTGATGTTTTGGAGGTTTGTGATTGCTCTGCTCCTATTTCTATTCGTTTTATGGACTTTTGATCTTGAATACTGTTCGTTATCTTCACGTGTTTCATTGAAATAATTTCTTTTCTTTCTATGGTTTTAAACTTTTATATTTTATTTTGTGTATACCGCGTATTTATATTTAAAAAAAGATTATTAAATGTTGTTTAACATGTTTGAAAATGCAAACCTTGCAAACTTTTCTAATTTCCCGGATGAGCGGAATCATGGTTTTAGGACCCCGGGAGCAGTTCAATCCTACTGCCACTGCCCCCGCCTCCTCCAATCTACGACAAGCTTCCGGTATTGGGACATCGTCCACCGTCTGATCCGGTACATGAGCACTCAGAGTGATGACAGCAGGGAGACCTTCAGTGTATATTAATGTTAAAATACCAGTAATTTACAGAAAAATGAAATTATATTTCGCAATGTGTTTAGGTTTAGGTAAAATGAATTCAGATTCCTTGTTTTTATCTATTACCATTTGTTTTCTTTTTCAGTTTCAGTAAAAAGAACAAATGGATGTTGTGCGCGACTTAAAAAGATAAATTATATGCAGACCAACTTGTAAAAGTTATGAAGTTTTTCGTTCCTTTTATTTTCTTTTTGCATCTGTGGTGTTAGCTACCACCATAACAGTCTGATATGCACCGACTAAAAAACTTCTCAACATATTAAATTTTCCCATTACAATCCGATACACCGCAGTAATCTGAATCTTACCTTTACCGTACTGTTTGATACACCCAAGTAATATAAATCTTACCTTTACCGTACTGTTTGATACACCGCAGTAATCTAAATCTTACCTTTCCGTACTGTTTGATACACCGCAGTAATCTAAATCTTATCTTTACCGTACTGTTTGACACACCCCAGTAATCTAAATCTTACCTTTCCGTACTGTTTGATACACTCCAGTAATCTTAATCTTACCTTTACCGTACTGTTTGATACACCCAAGTAATATAAATCATACCTTTACCTTACGGTTTGATACACCGCAGTAATCTAAATCTTATCTTTACCGTACTGTTTGATACACCCCAGTAATCTAAATCTTACCTTTCCGTACTGTTTGATACACTCCAGTAATCTTAATCTTACCTTTACCGTACTGTTTGATACACTCCAGTAATCTAAATCTTATCTTTACCGTACTGTTTGATACACCCCAGTAATCTAAATCTTACCTTTCCGTACTGTTTGATACACTCCAGTAATCTTAATCTTACCTTTACCGTACTGTTTGATACACTCCAGTAATCTAAATCTTACCTTTACCGTACTGTTTGATACACTCCAGTAATCTAAATCTTACCTTTACCGTACTGTTTGATACACTCCAGTAATGTTAATCTTACCTTTACCGTACTGTTTGATACACTCCAGTAATCTAAATCTTACCTTTACCGTACTGTTTGATACACTCCAGTAATCTAAATCTTACCTTTACCGTACTGTTTGATACACTCCAGTAATCTTAATCTTACCTTTACCGTACTGTTTGATACACTCCAGTAATCTAAATCTTACCTTTACCGTACTGTTTGATACACTCCAGTAATCTTAATCTTACCTTTACCGTACTGTTTGATACACTCCAGTAATCTTAATCTTACCTCTACCGTACGGTTTGATACACCGCAGTAATCTAAATCTTACCTTTACTGTACTGTTTGATACACTCCAGTAATCTAAATCTTACCTTTCCGTACTGTTTGATACACTCCAGTAATCTTAATCTTACCTTTACCGTACTGTTTGATACACTCCAGTAATCTAAATCTTACCTTTACCGTACTGTTTGATACACTCCAGTAATCTAAATCTTACCTTTCCGTACTGTTTGATACACTCCAGTAATCTTAATCTTACCTTTACTGTACTGTTTGATACACTCCAGTAATCTAAATCTTACCTTTACCGTACTGTTTATACACTCCAGTAATCTAAATCTTACCTTTACTGTACTGTTTGATACACTCCAGTAATCTAAATCTTACCTTTACCGTACTGTTTGATACACTCCAGTAATCTAAATCTTACCTTTACCGTACTGTTTGATACACTCCAGTAATCTAAATTTTACCTTTACCATACTGTTTGATACACTCCAGTAATCTAAATCTTACCTTTCCGTACTGTTTGATACACTCCAGTAATCTTAATCTTACCTTTACCGTACTGTTTGATACACCGCAGTAATCTAAATCTTACCTTTACTGTACTGTTTGATACACTCCAGTAATCTAAATCTTACCTTTCCGTACTGTTTGATACACTCCAGTAATCTTAATCTTACCTTTACCGTACTGTTTGATACACTCCAGTAATCTAAATCTTACCTTTACCGTACTGTTTGATACACTCCAGTAATCTAAATCTTACCTTTCCGTACTGTTTGATACACTCCAGTAATCTTAATCTTACCTTTACTGTACTGTTTGATACACTCCAGTAATCTAAATCTTACCTTTACCGTACTGTTTATACACTCCAGTAATCTAAATCTTACCTTTACTGTACTGTTTGATACACTCCAGTAATCTAAATCTTACCTTTACCGTACTGTTTGATACACTCCAGTAATCTAAATCTTACCTTTACCGTACTGTTTGATACACTCCAGTAATCTAAATTTTACCTTTACCATACTGTTTGATACACTCCAGTAATCTAAATCTTACCTTTCCGTACTGTTTGATACACTCCAGTAATCTTAATCTTACCTTTACCGTACTGTTTGATACACCGCAGTAATCTAAATCTTACCTTTACCGTACTGTTTGATACACCGCAGTAATCTAAATCTTACCTTTACCGTACTGTTTGATACACTCCAGTAATCTAAATCTTACCTCTACCGTACTGTTTGATACACCCCACTAATCTATATCTTACCTTTACCGTACTGTTTGATACACTCCAGAGCCAGCATAGCTTCCTCAAAGATAGAGAACGTCTCCCCCACAATGTAATCCGCCCCCTCCTCCACCGCCCACTCTATCACCTCCTGAGGGTTCAAGGTCAATTAATTGATTCAAGATTTAATATTGTGCTCATTAATTTAAAGAAAAAACAAGGAAAGATACCAGAAATAAAAATTCTGGTAATTCTTACACACACACACCCCTAAAAAAAAATCAAAGTACTGAAAGTACTGAAAAGCGGTTAGCATGCTTTCATCTAATATGTACCGAAAAAAGTGCATGAAATGATGATATTTAAGTATGCATATCTTTGTCCAATGTTATCAGAGAAAAAATAACAGGCATTCTGTTTTTGTAATACTTTACTTAATAGTAAAACCAATAACATTCCAAACTGATGTCACAGATGGATGCAATCTAATTAAAATTAGATGTTCCGAACCCGCTACTGCTTCTCAAACATCTAACAACATCATATTTGGGGTCATGTAAGTGTGAATCTTCGATTAGCCAAAGAAAACGGTTCCTCCGAAATCTTGGCTTACAGTTCAGATGGGTTTCTTGTTTTCACCACCGAACCAAAACACCCGAGGAGTTTTGTAGTAAACAAAATATGCATTGCATAAGCTGTGCTATGTATGACGTGTGGGTATCTTGTATAGTTTGTGCTCTTTCGATTGCATTATTCACGTGCAGATGCCAGACTGCAGACTATACATGAAATTGATTCCAAAATTACTTTAATTCAACGTAAGACAGTATCAATAATGATGATATGTAGCCGTGGAATTAATTTGAGAATTGTTTACCGAGGCTTGAATCTACATGGCCAAAGTTTTTGTGTTTACTAGTACATGTATTCATAATCGAAAGGTCGCTCTGATGTGACCCCGAATGGGATGTTAGATGTTTGAGAAGCAGTAGCGGATTTGAAACATTTAAATAAATTTTAATTAGATTGAAATGCATGTTTCAAAATTTAAACATGAGATTTCTTCAGTTTGAAAGACAGGAAGTGCATTTTTAAAAGTTCTCTCTTGGTGGCATCCTATCGTTCTCTGGATGAAAACAGTTATGTTGATGTTGAAAATTTAATTGTCTTTCATGCTCTATTGAATCTGAAGTTAGGTAATTGTAAAGCCTAATATAGCAAACAACTAAAAAAATGACAAATTAAATTCTTTAGAATAATGGATTTGGAGTAGTGTAGATCTACAGCTGGCTAGTCAGAGAAAAAAGGATGACTGAGCAGAGACTTTGTAAATGAATTGATATCAAAGAGCTCCAGTTGTGTAGGCTCATCGCGGGTATAACCTGTCAACGTGGGATGCTTACTTCTTCTAGGCAACGCATCCCACCTCTTGAACTTTCAGGAGTCGGCTTTTCTTCTTAAATCGATCATTGATCATTCTGTATTTTTATACAGATACTGAATACTTCCGTTTAGTAATATTATGAACTACTACTTGTACGGGAAGACTGGCGAGTAAACAAGATTATCAAGCTTTATGAAATGTACTTTATTGACTTTTCAAACAAGTAAATGTTCGAATAAAGTAAATGGTATATGAGAATCATTTAAATATGTCTAGATAAGGACATGATGTGTATTTGCAATATACTCTTCATGCAATATTGCTCTCAAATAAAACATATGAAAAGGAAAGTTGTCTAATCAAAAAAATACTAGTATTTAAAAATTCAAATGTACACTTAAAGTCAGTGTAACTTAAGAAGTTATCAGTGTCACTTTCTTCAATATGTCGGTTAAACAATATACACTGATTTCTTTTCTATCAATGTGTCTCTAAACACCTATATCTTAATTTAATTCTTCTCAAACGCTCAAAATAATGATAGACAAACTGGACAAATTCAAATTTAAAAAGTATTTTCACAGCTAATAATACGTTCCCTAGGAATTGATCAAATTTTCAAAATTTATAAATAAACATTTTTAATCAACCATACAGAATTACCGAAAAATAAGACAAAAGAGAAAGACTGTATTATTTGTCCGGAATTACCCCGTGTCCAGAATTGGACGGATCTCCCCTAAGTATAAATTTTAAATTTTTGCTAATTGCCAAGACTTTTCATACCTCATTCTTCTGTGAATAATAATATCGGTTGATTTTTAGAAGAGGGTCACAATGCCGATTAAAATTAATATATATTTATCCTTTTTTTCAAAATTAATTTTACTACTTTAAATCCCCCATCATTTTTTTCAAAACTAAAAGTAAGTGATCCCTTATGATCGTTTGTACATGTAATAAATTATCAAAGACGGAGCAGAGAATTTACCCCTAGGAGCTGAGCTTTTAAAACTGTTTATTAGACAGAGAAGAAAACAAACGTTTCATTGTGGAGGCAATCCTATTGTTTCCATAAAAACGTTACAAAAAGTGTAAAACTTGCAGATGTATTCGGTGTTTTTATAAAAACGTTTTTCAGGTATGACTTGACTTAATAAATAGTGTTTCTTAATACTTTGGCAAGGAAAATCAAACTCGATCGAGAGATTTGCTGATGTTTTTGCAGTCTGTAATAACCTTCAACCTGCTGTATAATTAACCGTATCGTTCAACTTTCAAAAATAAACTAACAGTTGCTATAAATCGCGATCGCACGATGTACATGTAATAAGGACGAAATTCTCAGTTCTTTGAAGTTAGTGTTCTAAGTATTGTCAATGCTTTGGTAAATACTAATAAGAATTCGATATAATCGTTATAATAGCCACTCTTCGTACACAGCATATTGTCAATCTTTCACCAGGGGGCGTATTACGCCAACAGTATGTATACAAATCATAGGAAGCGCTTTGCTGAAGTTACCGTTGTCGATAGGTAGCGCCTTGTGGAAGTTTCCGGTTTTGGTTGCAGAAGGATAAGGTTACGTGCGATAAAGCGATGTCGATAGGTAGCGCCTTATGGAAGTTTCCGATTTTTTGGAGCCCATGCCATAAAGCGGTTAGCTAGCTAACCGCTTAATAACGCATATTTTGAAACATTGTCAAAACTATTAAGTGGAAAGACCTTGGGCAATACTCTCAAGGAAATAAATCAAGTTGTATGTTAAATATTCTTTATCGAAAGATTTGCTAGAGATACTTCTTAAAATCTTTGAACCTCTATTTTTACTTTATATAGTTCCAGTAGACGTGTTTACACGAATGCATAGATTCATGAATGCAAAAACAATTGCTCCGTTAAATTCTGACCAGTTTAAAACTCAGACATTTCGTTGTTAAAGAACATAATTATGGAAAACATTCTAAACCTTAAATATTGCTCTGCTTTTCTCGTGTGTTTCTGGGTGGTTAAGCGAGTAGACTTGAGTATGACAAACACTGCCAGCTACAAGACATCCCGTCTGATCCGCCACTTTTCTGGCAATTCTGAGCGCCTGTCTGTTCAAGGATTCAACTTCCGCTTCTCTGCCAATCGAACGCATCTTTTCTCTATGTCCAAAATACTAAAAAAAAATATTCAGCTATTTTTTCTGGAACGTACTTTTTTCGTAAAGAGATAATAAATAAATCATTTTTTTCCAAAATATTTGAAAATTGATTTTTCCATTTTGTTTCAGTCTTTTGAATTGAGCTTACGGTGAATGCGGGTAGCACGTCAGTTCCGGCGTGAACGAACTCTTCATGCAGTTGTGTCACCAGTTCCGGGTGTTCGATCACCACTTCCGGAACGTAACCACCAAGTGTCAGGTATCCGCGACGAGCAAACTCCCACATATATCCATTTGCTATCAATACATTTTCGCCATTTTTTAACCTTTCTACCAATCCTGAAATGCAAGAATTCTAAAAGAGTGCCGTGTACTAATCTTTGTCTGTTATCTATACTATATTCTAAGTGATACATTACTTTGGGTTGAATAAAAGTATTGGATACTCCTACAAGTAAAAGCCTCGGTTAACGTCCCTACGCTCCTTAATATACCTCGGTTACACGGCGCAGAGTCAAAAGTATTTCGGCGTGAACCTCTAGCATGCTGGAGTACTGTTAGTAGTTATATATCATGAACAACTATTACAAATCTTTCTGAGATTTGCATAAGGAATACATTAATTCTATTATTTAACCAAATTCGAATTTTGTTGCATCTTATTAACATTTTGCACACCTTAGAGTTGTACGCCCACCTACTTTGTTTATTTGAATAAAAAGTCATGATAGCATTAAATACCTTAAACCTTCTTTAGTCCTCTTAAAAAATTCTCTGACCGGTATACCGACAGACTCATTAGTACAATGTACTAATTGAAGGTAACTTTTCATTATCAATGGAAGGTTGATTAAGCAAAATCTACATTAAAAAATGTTTACTATAGTTTGTAAAGATGGGGACGATTTTAGAGGCAGTTTGTCTCACGGTGTCTGATTATTGACCTACTTAGATAAATGCTTTGATAAGTTTATTTTCTTCCTAGTTAAAGTGTGAATTTAATATCAATTCAAATTCGTGATAGATAGGACTTTATGTGCTTTTAGATTTGGGGTCTGTGGGTTGTTTTCTATCTTTTGATAACCTAGAAAATTCACTTAAAATTTGAACATCTTACAAATTACAAAATTTAGCTACACACAAACTATATGTTACATTTTTTTAGTGTATGAAAGCATTATTTGGTGAAATGCAAGAACTTCAAGATTTATGATACGCTATAATTACAATGTACTTCACCGACTTTGCGAACTTTTGGTACTTTAAATTTTTTTTACATTTATGACTAACTACAACAATAAAGAATAAAAAAGTAAGACATACCGCGTTTCGACATATCGTCCGTTATATCACCTAGACATGTACTTTCTCGAATTGTTATATAGGCATATGTGCGTGCAAACACCTTAAATCAAAATATTATTAACAGATCTTGTGCACATACATGTATTGTACATGTACAACCCACAAGTGAGTAGGAGCGATAACTCTGGATAGAGATTGTGGTCCGGATATTGCACAAGTATTGAAGAAAGCTCCGCAACCTGCTGCCAGGACATCATGTGGGAATCACCAAGTATCTCCACTGATCACTTTTTGTTGCATAGGCGTCGGAACCGGGGGGGGGGGGGGGGGGGCTAGGGGGGCTTAGCCCCCCCCCCCCACTTTTTTTCCAAATATATACTTAGTATAGACATTGAACATATCTTCGGAGGTTTAGCCCCCCCCCCCCCCCCCCCCACTTTCCACAGATACGTCTTAGTATAGGTTAACAATGGGGAAAGTGGTGGTGTTGGAAGAAAATTTTGGTACTGGAGTTCGAACCTAACCCCCCCCCCCCTACGAAATAGGATTTTTGTGTTTGGGAAATAGACATTTCCTTTTTTTTTTTTTTTTTTGCTTGTTAGGTTTTTTTGAAGGTACAAGAAATTTCAAGAAATTTCTTTTTACACTTAGCCCCCCCCCACTTTCAATTTGCTTCCGACGCCAATGTGTTGGGCTCATAAAGAAAAAAATTGATATATTTTATAATAATTAATAATAACCCCTCTCATCCAGGAAATAGGATGTTCGATTTGGAATTTGAACGAAAATCCTTTTTTATTTTTGCTTGTCAAGTTTTTTTTCCAGGTTTGATTATTTTCTGTCTTCCAATTACCCCCCCCCCCACCCCCTTTTTCAATTTGCTTCCGAAGCCGATGTTAAATAAACAGAATTATCAATCTATAGACATTATCAATTAGTTGTAAAACTTGATAAAATAACGTATAACTTGTTAAAAAGTTCAAATAACTGTTACACATTATAAACAAGCATATATTTAGACACCAGTGAAACTTTAGTGTTAAAAATTCAGTACCCCACCCATTACTTAATAGAGTTATCATAGTATTCAAATTCTTTTACTAGACCATTTTTTTTGTACTAAGTAAAGCGCCATTATCACTTGCGCATTGTGTTTATGTCCTCCAGGAGGTGAGTTGATAAGCAAGAGCTACCGTAGGAACAATTTTTAAATCGAGTCAGCCTATTGACAAACAAGTTGATGAGAGAAGGAAATCAACAGCCTCGTTTAAATTCTATAGTCGATTCAATTTTAATGATCGACATTGTCAACAAATACAGTCTATCAATATTAATAAGTCACAGGTTGACTGGCGTTTTTTCATACAAAGTGTTTGGCTATCGTTCACACTATGCATTGTCTATTAATTTTGATAACATCTGTTTTTCCGATCTTGACCAGTAATACGCGAAAGTTTGTGTGGATTTTCAGATTTTAAACAAAGAACTACAGTAACTTTAGTTTTAGAACAACAAGAAAGCTTATTAGAACGTCAATTTTAGCATAATATATTTACATTCTAATATGACGCATTGGGGGTGGGTGGGGTGGGGGTTAGTTGAGAGATAGATTGTATATATAACCCTTTATCATTATATTTTTATTTACCGGTTGGGGACCGTAGCAAGCTAGCAACCATCTTATGTTTGACTGACACACTTTTGCAAAGAATTAATATTTTTTTGATAAGTTATCCTTATCTGTCTTCAAAATTTTCAAAATAAAAAAGTTACTTTTTTTTTATTTTGGGTGGTGGTGGTGCAGTGGTGGTGGAGAATAGGGGGGGGGGGAGTCCACATCACAAGCATCAGATTCTTGAAGTCACCTTTTTTAATCATTATAAATGATGATGACATTATTAATGTACTAACAGTATTATAAATATAGAATATTCCTAAAACACACCAAGAAAGGGCCATTCATGTATATTCTTTAAAATTTCATTCGTATGTTTTTGAAATATTCTCAAATGTTGTGTTTCATTTTCTGAATATCTTTTGATTTTTTAATTAATTTCAAGGAATTATTTAATCCGGATATATTTTCACGTTCGTTACCAATTCTCGCTTTTATTGTCTTGATGTTATTTCCGATACTGGTTTTATCGGCAAGAAGAAATTTCCAGAATTGAGGAGAAAAATTATTTGCCAGGGAGTAAACGAGTTATCGTTAAGTTTTCAAAATGACTGAGCTTATCCACTGCTACAACAAAGGGTGTGGTCAAAAGTTTGATCCAACTAGCAACGAAGACGGTAGGCTAATCAGTAAACCGTTTTTTACAAATCGTTGTTTGTGAATCATGCTTTGTCGGTGGAGTCAAAACATTAGATACAGTGGGGATGGTTTGTGTACTTTTCAGTTTTGAGATTTTTATAACATTAGTTAACTTTTTGTAGAGGACCATAAGGTCATCTATTATTAATTTAGAAATTAATCTAGTTTTAAGTTAATTTTGTAAATGTCATGGAAACGTGAAAACAAAACTACAAAACCATAGGAACTAGTTAGAATAATCTAGTAAGACAAGCACAGGCGCTTGTTTCGTATACGGGTACCCCCTACCTATATTTACCACAAGGTACGGTCTAACTCATTCTCGGGCACCCCCACTTCAAGCTCGTATTTACTAATAAATCAATTGTACACCTACATTAGTTTGCTCCAAGAGATATTTTTCTATATTGCTGACGTCTCCTATAAAGATCTTTTGTTGTAAAATGCTTATTTATTCATCGATAATCAGCTGGAATCATACTAAGACGACAAACTATATGCTACATTCACTTCCTGTTTGGCGGTTACGGACAAAATATTTTTTATGAAATTAAAATATTCTGCAAGTGAAAAATAATTGGTAACATTTTTATAGATAATATATTTCTTAGGTACTAATTATACTTTAGCCTTATCCAGAATCTCCTGTTCCGATTTTGTCAATGCCATAACCTTACTTTCACTTTTGGGTTGCTTAACTTAGCAACCAATGAAATCACTGTATAAAATTTAGACCCCAATTACCGGAAGTGAGTGTAGCTTATAGTTCATCTTAATATGATTCCAGCTGTGAAGACACATAATCACGATGGTTTTAATTTCATTATGTCGCGATTCGTCTTTTTTCCGCGAAATTAAACCCATCGTGAATGCTATCATTTGTTTTTAAAAATGTTAAAATGCATATACGAAATTAGAATTAAGTTTGTGATGCGTGAAATTAAACCCATCACGATTGGTACTTTTTAAGAAATCGTAATATTTAAATACCGCGGAATTAAAACGACTTACAGTATTCAGAGTAGGGCAATTTCAGGCTAATAATAATCAAAATGTTCTTTTAGGACACTTGTCAAAGACAGAAAACGAAAGTAACCATAGATTTCATATTCTAACATAATTCATGAATATCTCAACATTTTCTACTTGCTTCATTGTTCTAATGTATTAAATTGAAATTCAGAATTGTACACAATATACATCTAGATCAAAATTATATGCTTCTGTTTATTTTGCATCATTGGATTCACTGCCCTTTAATACCAGGTCCATAGAACATTAACATTTTAATGATAGAACAATCTATTTATATTTGAAGTAAATACTTTCGTTTGATTTATAGGTCGATACTATTTTTTATTTGAGATCCTGTGGGTTGCCAAAAAATCCTTGGAAAATCCTTTCTTAAAATTTTCAGTGATTAAGCATGTAAATTTATTCAGCGGCCTTCTTTTAGAGTTGTAAATTTTGCTCCTATGCTTCTGTTAAAACAAAGTTATAAACTTTAATTTGCTATAAATCTTGTACATGAAACACAATAATTCTTTGCTACTGTGGTTTCATCAATTTTCGTTGAGCACAAATTTTCGAGGATTTCGTTGTTAGCAGATCCACAAATTTAAATGTTCATTGAATTAAGAATTATTATTCATTTGTGTAGGCAATGTTTTTTTCCCATGAAATCACATATCCCCGAAAACGTCTGTTTTACAAAATCCACAAAAAATGATGGCAATGAAAATTGATAAAACTACAGTATTTCTTACTGAATTATTACAGATAGTTGTACTTATCACCCTGGACAACCTGTGTTCCACGATGCACTGAAGGGCTGGTCCTGTTGCAAGAAACGCAGTACAGATTTTACAGAATTCCTCAATACACCGGTATAGTCCTAATCGCTTACTTTAGGCCTGACTGGCCTGTTATGTACAAATTGTACATTTCGAAAGTTTTATAATGCACTTAATTTTATAAACTTAATCCAGTGTGATATTTGCAGTCAGTTTAAATATATATATATAAATTAATTTTTTATCAAAACCAATCAAAGTAAAAAATGTCACAAATACATTATCTAAGAAGAAATCAAAATCCATACTGCATGGTACAAAATATATAATGGTACTAATATCTAAAAAAAAAAAAAAAGATTCAAAAATATTTCCGAATTATGTAGAACTTTTGTTGATTATGAAACCATTTTACTGTTTTCATTGAGGCTGTGTTGATATTTTTTTGCGTGTTTTAGGGTTGTGTTTAATTTTTTATTTAATTTTACAGGGTTGCTCAAAAGGAAAACATAGTAATGTTAAACCTCCAGAACCAGTCAAAGAGGAGAAAAACAACAAAGATGAGGTTGGTATTACCTTATGCATATTTTTTTTTCCTTGAAAAAATTTAACAAATGTTACACAAATATAACTTTCACTGTGTGATGAGTTAAAACAAACCAAGTAAATATTTTAGCGAGTTCTTTTCATTATTGCTAAAATTTCATCTTCAAAACTTTATTCACTATTTTAATGTATGTTTATGTAAAACCATTGATTGTGTGTGTTGGATTTTGTAAGGTCATTGAAGTTAAGATGCCAGAGCCTAAGAAGCCTCGGGACCCCTCAGCTAGACCCTCCTCAGATGAACCTCTGGTCCCCCTCAGTGTAAATGTCACATCCTCCCTAAAACAGGCCCTGGAAAAATACATGGAAAATGTCAATCAACAAACAACAGAGGGTAATATTAATTTCTACAGATTACTGATGTAAAAGATCTAGGGAAAATTAAATATTTATTTTCCTTAGAAGTGGTTTCTTGCTAAATGGACCAATTCAGATGACGTAAATGGCACTTAGAAATAATTTCAAAAGGTACTGTAGAAGTACTTTTTTCCGCGTGGTATTTAATTACGCTATGTACACGGTTACAAATTTTCCGCGGAAATTTGCCCAAGCGTTCTTAATATAAATGTAAGGCATAAAGTGACAGTCCTAGAAATCCGCGTAATTTTCTACCCGCGGATTTTACAGAAATTGAGATTCCGCGGAATTATGACCCCGTGGAAAAAAGTACGTCTACAGTAATACCCAGGGTAGTTAATGAGTTCACAGAGATTTTGTTCATAAACCTCAACAACTAACTTACTACAATGGATCTCGAACCATCATTTTTAGCTCACCTCAACGAAGTTGGGGGAGCTTATGTAATACCCTCGCCGCATCGGTGTGGGCATCGGCGTAGGCGTCCCAGGTTAAGGTCAAGTTTTTTGGAGCAGTTTTCTTTTTAAGTACTTCTATGTCCTATATTGATTAGACATGCATGGAAGATGTTTCTAGTGTGTTTCATTGTACCAGTCAAAGTTTCAGATGCTGCAATTTCAGCAAAGGAATGACCAGGTTAATGTTTATGGAGCAGGTTAACATTTTTGGTGCAGTTTTGGGTGTAGGTCTTTTTCCGAGTAACTATAAGCCCTATGTTGACCAAACTTGCATGGATGGTACATCTAAGAATGCACACTACCAGGCCTGCTTCAGATGCTGAATCTGACCTACATTTACCACATGAGTGAACAGATTTATGTTTTCGGTGCAGGTCTCACTTCAAAGTAACTATGAGCACTATAGTGACCAAACTTGCGTGGATGATACATCTGAGGATGCATACTACCAGACTTGCTTCGGATACTGAATCTGACCTACATTTTCTGGTTGAGTGAACAGGTTAAAGTTTTTGGTGCAGGTTTCATTTCCAAGTTACTATGAGCCCTATAATGACTAAACTTGCATGGATGGTACATCTTAGGATGCATACTACCAGACTTGCTTCGGATACTGAATCTGACCTACATTTTCTGGTTGAGTGAACAGGTTAGAGTTTTTGGTGCAGGTTTCATTTCGTTACTATATATGAGCCCTATAATGACTAAACTTGCATAGATGGTACATCTAAGAGTGCATTCTACTAGGCTGGCTTCGGATGCTGAATCTGACCTACATTTTCAATCTGGATTAGTGAAATGTTAGTTTTTTATACAGGTTTTATTTCCAAGTAACTTTGATCTCTATGTTGAGCAAACGTGCATGGATGATACATTTTAGGATGCACACTTATGGACTTGCTACAGATGCTGAATTCAACATACATTTTTCAGATAATGGACCTCATAAAAGTTATGGGTGCAGGTCTATTACCAAGAAACTATACGGCTTATATAAACCAAACTTGCACAAATGATACATCAAGGGATGATAACTCTCAAACTTGCTTCAGATGCTGGATTTTAATTACGTTTTCATGATGAAGAACTAGTCTGATATTTTTATATAGGTCTTTTCCAAAGTATCAAATCAAAATTGCATAAATTTTGCATTTTTGGATGTACACTTTTTATTGGTTAATTGTGTGACTTTGCCTTTCTTAAAGACAAAATTCGTTGAGGTGAGCTCTGTAATCTCTGATTACCTATGTTTAAAATAAAGGGAAAACTTTTTTTTAAAGGATATTGATTCTATAAACCATTTAGGGAAAATATTTTTATTTCAAATGGATATATATTGTATAGTTTTAGCAAGAATTATGATACATGTAATATAAATTTAAAACACAAAATTTTAGATAAAACTGACTCAACAGAAGTGAAAGTTGGCACATCATGTAAAAACAATGGATGCAAGGCAGTAAGTAGGCAAATAAACGATATAAAAGTAGATATCATTTATATATACATATATACTTATAAAATTACATGGATGTAAATTTTTTTGAAACAAAAGCTCCTATTCATGTTAATAAGTAATTTTTGTGGAATTTTCATTAAAAATAAGATGTTTATAATAGAAAATATATATTGTTTTATTTTTCAGTGTTATGAAGGAGAAAATAGTAACACAGAGAGATGTTTATATCATCCAGGTTTTCCAGTGTTTCATGAGGGGTAGGTAACTCTGTAGGTCTTATTTTTGAAGTGTACAACTTGCATTAAATATTTAATCACTTGTATCTTGATGAGAATTAATATTAAGGTTATTTATATCATAAATAAAAGATTAAATTGTTTGAGATAATTAGGGGCAACAATTCCTGCATATCTGAATCTGAATCATCCTTGTTCTATTATTTATGTATTAAAATGTATTCCTGCAATGATATTATTAAATAACTCAGATTTAATGCACTGGTGCATTATATCAATTTTATCATACAGCATGAAGTTTTGGTCTTGCTGCAACAGAAAAACGTCAGAATTTGACCAGTTTTTAGCTCAGGAAGGCTGTGAAACGGGAACGCATTTATGGATCAAACCAGAGGCAAGACAAAGTTTGCATAATAATTTTTTGATAAATTATTTCCCTTTAATTAAGAAATTGTAAATGCAATGAATATATTAGAAATGGAGTAGATTTATTTTATTAATTTGAAACGAATAAAATAATTGTTTTTAAACAATATATTTCCTTTATATTCAATGGCAACTTACATACTGTAAACTAACTTTTGTTCGCCATATTTTTATTTCAGGATTAACTGGGGGTAAACTAGTTTGCGATGACTAACTTTTATGATCAAGTCTTTTTGGATCTGTTATTAATAGACTCAGAGACTTTAAGTATGGTTTGGGGGAAGAAATGTTTGCAATAAGTAGGCTCTTGTGATAATTTCTCACACACAAATAAAAGTTGGTTTACAGTATAAAAGAGGCATAATGATTTGGATCAGAAAAAAGATCTTGCATTAGTTGGCACATACAAGTATCTTTATCACCCCTATTGTATTTTTTATCTTCTGTAGGTGGAAGGAGAGAAGAAGTCCTGTCGGTTTGACTGGCATCAGACTCCCTCCACTGTCTCTCTGTCTGTCTTTGCCAAAGTTGCTGTTCCTGAGAAATGTTCAATAACTGTCAACAGGGTGCGCTGTGTCATCAAAATCATATTTGAAGGAGGAAAGAGTCTCTTTGAAAGAGATATAATACTGAGAGAAGTATGCATTATTTTATTATGAGGTAGAACTTACATGTGTAGAACTGAACATTTTTAATCTATGGAAATTCAAAAGGATCTGACAGAAATTTTTATAGTATTTTCATTTCTGATATTTTCTAAAATTGCCATAAATACATGTACATGTAGATCTACTGTGAAATCACAAATTTTCGTGGGGGTTTAATTTTTGTTGTTTTCGAGGTATGACGAGACGCACAAATTTATGTTTACCATGAAATGTAAAATGTTACATACATAAGTACTCTGACATCAATTCTTGATCCACGAAATCAAATCCCCAAGAACTAAGAGATTTTCCTCAATTCACGAAAATTTGACCCCACGAAAATATTTGATTTTACAGTATATGGTGAACTAGAAATGCAAATTTCTTGTATTTTGGTATAATTGGTTATTTCCGATGGTTAAGTCTATAGACCAGCCATGTTTATTTCTTTTTCAATTTTGAATTTCCAGTCTGTGAAGTCTGTAGAATTTAATATTGTTCGAAGAATGATGGTAGAAATTTTGGGTAAGGGATTTTTGTTCTATTGTAGGAAATAATTCCAGAGAAAAGCACAGTGAAAATGATTGGAACAAAAGTAGAAATAAATTTAAAGAAGGCAGAAGCGTTCAGCTGGCCAACTCTTGAATTTCCCGATAATGCTCCAGAGAAAAAAGAATCTCAAAGTTGAGATCAAACTAAACAGTTAACAGCTAGGAGATGAGCAATAAACAACAGACATTGTGATAACAGAGCATTTATAAATTAAAAATAAAAACTGCTCTAATAATGCAAGGATTATTTATTTTTAATGTGAATTATTGGGGTCAATTCACTGATCTTGTTACAGTGGCTCATTTTTTTGAATAATAGGGTCTTATATTAATCCTACGAAGAGTTGTATTTTCTCCCCTACAAAACTGTACCTGGCTTATGTGTCATGAATCCAAGGTACGAATTATTACATAAACTCCTAAATCTGATAAAATACATAATGTCAGTGTTATTTACTAAACTTATGACAGTGCATTCTTTCCTACGTTTTTTTTTTTTTTTAATTTTTCAATTTTGCATGAGAAAAGCATGTGTGGCATGTATACTGATATATTGTTGCACATTTTGAGTTTCAAACTTTGATATGTTATACATATGTCATTTTTCCATGAAATGAATATTAAAAAGAAGAATATTTGTCTTGTCTTTTATGACACCCATATCTTCTCATTTAAAAGTTCTTACCAATGTAAAACGATGTGTTTGTGAAACACTATGCGCCCGGCGGCAACCCATATCTTTAGCATATAGATCACAGTCGAGGTCACAAAGTCATTGATCTTGGTGTCATTTGAAAGAACTTGATTAGTGATGAATGCATACCAACTATGAAGTCTCTATCTCTCATGGTTCAAAAGTTATTGTGAAGGTCCAAAAAAGCTATTTTTTTAGCATATAGAACACAGTCAAGGTCACAAGGTCATTGACCTTGGTGTCATGTGAAAGGGCTTAATTAGTGGAGTATGTATGCCAAATATTAAGTCTCTATCTTTCTTCGTTCAAAAGTTACAGTGAAGGTTAAAGTTTGCTGACAAAAATGCTACAATTAGCGTAAAGGTCACAGTCAAAGTCACAAGGTCATTGACCATGGTGTCATTTAAAAGAGCTTCATTAGGCCAGATAAAATTAATCTTTAGATTCTCATCCCCGCCCTCCCCTCTCAAAGTCTCCCGCCCCGGCGTTTTTTATTTTGATTTTTGGATGTTAATAAAGGTATTTTCATGTATTTTTATCCAGTTAGAATTTGGGTGAAGTTTAAGACTTATCTCCCGTCTGTATTAAAAGTCGCGTGTCGCTATTTATAGCAAAAGAGCCATGTGAAGAATGGAGAAAAATCGGCAATAAAAGCAGTTTAAATAGGCAAGGAAAAGATTAATTCCAGTATAGAGAAGGCAGAGAAAAAACAATACTGTAAATCACTTTTTATTCGCGAGAACTTTATTTTCGCGTAATTTAATTCTCGCGTATAATAGTATTCCTTAAGATTATATAGAGCAATAACCACAATTCGCGAAAAATTTGTCTCGCTAATCAAGAGTCGATGACTATCTCGCGAAAATAAGGTGTCGCGAAAATTTAGTGATCTACAGTAGCATAAACACATCTAGATACCATCATTGGCATAAGGAAGTTTTTAAAGATTATTTAAAACTAAGTATAAAAATAGACATGGAAAATGACACCTGGTCAAGTTTTAACGATCTCCAACTGTGTATGATTTTGATTTGAAAAAACAAAAAACAAAAAAAAAAAAACATCGTAGGCAGAGTTTAGAGAATGTTTAGTGCTAAGAAAATGTTCAATCTTAAAACTGTTCAGTCCTAGGTTTTTCAGTAGAATAATTTATTAGAATATTTTATAGATTTTGCAAATACGACCTATTTTAATGTCGAACAAATCAAGTCTCGAGAACGATCAAATTTTTGAGGAAGGTGGAAATCTATGATATTTTACACAAAACAGAGGGATTTGTTGGTAAAACTATAGGGTATTTAGGGAAAGGCCGATGAGAAGTCATGTATACAAAATTTATTGGTATCAGAACCCTACCTCATTTTATTTTGTGTGTGCCGTATATGTGTACTTGATAATTTGTTAATTAACAATAAATATCTAATGATTTAAGCAAGAATTTTCTTTAAATACATGAAATATTTAAAAGAATATGAAAAAAAATAAAATCTATTCATATTGGCATTAACTTAGGGGAAAAAAATGTGTACGAAGAGTCCATGTTTTGTTGATACTTACAATTTATCAATTATAAAAAATAAAAAATAAAATCCGCCCACCCGCCCCAATTATTTAGCAAATTAGGATGAGAATCTAAAGATTAATTTTACCTGGCCTTAGTGGAGTACTAGTATGCATACCAAATATGAAGTCTCTTTCATTCATGGTTCAAAAGTTATGGCGAAGGTTAAAGTTTGCAGACAAACAGCCAGACAGGACAAAAACAATACTTACATGTAGTATATGCCTCGGATCTTTCGATCCCGGCACATAAAAAATTTTTTTTAAAAAAAAGTTAAACATTTTGGTCAAGGTCACAAGGTAAAAATCAGAGAACATTTGGAAAAGTCTTCAAATTTGTACTGCTGGTTTGTCAAATATGAATACTCTATTTCTGCCTTTCATTAAGGAATCGCTGTCTAGTTAGTAAGTTTGCCAGGGCACCGATGATAGTGGGAAACATGGGACAATTTGCCCCGTTATGCATAAATTATCCCATGTTTCCCACTATCGTTGATGTCTCTGGCATACTATACTAACTATACACTGATTCCTTACATTTCCATTTCATTGTAAAATAAATTTGTAAATTTAGACTTTAAATATGTAGACATAGATTTAAATTACACGAGGACTCCCCTGCCAATTTCAGTAGTCCTCGCCCACTGACGTCAAACACAAAAGCAGCCGCACGAGATTTACTTGCACATTTGGCCTCCTAAGCGTCAGACACAGAGACAGATGCGCACGAGATTTGCATGGACATTAGGTCTCATTAGCTCCTGACCTATCGACCTGCCAAATTTACATTCCGGTAGAATTATCAAGAAATCAACTCCGCTAACTTTCAAAGAGTTATCACAGAGAGAAACAAGAGGCCCATGGGCCACATCGCTAACCTGAGCACTGTGGCTAGGAACAAGTAGAAATTGGTTTATTGAATAGTTTAAATTTAAAAGTAGTCCCATGACCAATCATGGCTTTGCTATTCTTGATAAGTTGATTTTTAAGGAATTTTCCTAAATATGTCTATTTAAAACTTTGGTAGGCCATTTGTGGCCCCGCCCTACCCCGGGGGTCATGATTTGAACAAATTTGAATCTACACTACCTGAGGATGCTTCCATACAAATATGAACAATTATGACTTTGTTATTCTTGAGAAGAAGATTTTTAAAAAAAATTTCCCATACATTTCTAGGTAACATTTTGGTCGGCCATTGTGGCCCCGCCCTACCCCCGGGGGTCATGATTTGAACAAACTTGAATCTACACTACCTGAGGATGCTTCCATATAAATATGATCAATTATGGCTTTGTTATTCTTGAGAAGAAGATTTTTAAAAAAAATTTCCCATACATTTCTAGGTAACATTTTGGTCGGCCATTGTGGCCCCGCCCTACCCCCGGGAGTGATGATTTGAACTAACTTGAATCTACACTACCTGAGGATGGTTCCATATAAATATGATCAATTATGGCTTTGTTATTCTTGAGAAGATTTTTAAAGAATTTTCCTATATATTTCTATGTAAAACTTTGGTCAGCCATTGTGACCCCGCCCTACCCCCGGGGGTCATGATTTGAACAAACTTGAATCTACACTACCTGAGGATGTTTCCCCATAAGTTTCATTTTTCCTGGCACAGTGGTTCTTGAGAAGAAGATTTTTAAAATATACCACTAAATTTTCATTAATTCCCAATTATCTCCCCTTGAATAAGGGCGTGGCCCCTCATTTGAACAAACTTGAATCCCCTTCACCCAATGATGCTTTGTGGCAAGTTTGGTTGAAATTGGCCCAGCGGTTCTTGAGAAGAAGTCGAAAATGTGTTCACAGACAGACGGACAGACGGACGCCGGACAAAACGTGATCAGAAAAGCTCACTTGAGCCTTCGGCTCAGGTGAGCTAAAAATTAGAAATAGAAATATATTATCACCAAAGTTAAAAGTTCTACAAATATGGTCAAACTTCAAGGTAATACCATTCCGAAACTTCTTGTCACAAGTAATTCATTTGTCAAATATGAATGACCCATCTTCTGTCATTCAAATGTATCACTTTTTAGCTCACCTGAGCCGAAGGCTCAAGTAAGCTTTTCTGATCAAAATTTTGTCCGTTGTCTATCGTCGTCGTCGTTGTAAACTCTTCACATTTTCATCTTCTTCACGAGAACCACTGGACCAATTTCAACCAAACTTGCTACAAAGTATCCTTGGGCAAAGGGGATTCAAGTTTGTTCAAATGAAGGGCCACACCCTCTTCCAAGGGGAGGTAATGACAACGACGCCAGACGTTTGATTAATTACGGAATTTAGAGTTACAAGAGAAAAAAAATGAAATTATTATATATGATATTAGAATTGACTAGCCTTTTCTCTACGTGCCTTTGCTTTCTCGAATTAATCGATATGAATAGCCTTGGCGATAAGTTGGAAAATAATTTCAAATTATCCATTTTGAGCACAGGCACTTGTTTCGGAATAAATTTTAACCCATAGTATAATTATAACGTGTTAAAATTTTATTTCCGAAACAACTGCCTGTGATTTTTAGTTCAAGGTTTATTATCTTGACTAATTTTAGACCTAAAGTTCAAAATATTACTTAAACATTAATAGATTATTCATCAGTATAAATTTGTGTTGCACTATCCATCGAAAGAAGAATGCATTCAACATTGACATGATTTTTGAGATTCATGCTTTGTGATAAATAATCTTTAAGTAGCCTATAACTGTCCATTAATCAAGTTAACAATTACAAATGAATGTATTTCCTTTTAATGCCAAAACCTTTACCTGAGATACTCCAATAAGAAGACAATGCTAACATACATGTACAATTATGTGTGAGAAACAATTCTTAGAGAGTACATTTATAGGAACATAATAGAATAATTTTACAAGTAATGTTACATTGTACATGTGTATGCCTCAAACTGCAAATTCTGCGAGAAAAGAAAACTACTGTCGGACCTTTCGGCCCTCCAATAACTCTTTCTTTTTTTACAAACTAGACAATTTCCGGCCTATTACCTACACTACAAAAAATCTTTATACATGTTGAAACCATTAAACTTGACCATTGAACTTCCACACCTGACATGAGATCTATAGAGGTGGAAATCAAGGGGATTTGTGTTTAGACTGAACTCAAGTTTTCCATCAAACAAAGTAGATGAAAAATTAATATGAAGATATAGAACAGTAATCAATCTAAAAAATCTATTGAAATAATTT